GAGATTTCAGCGTGGATAGATGCACTCAAATCGTGAACGCGGATAGCTTTGACGGTGTACAGCTCAGGGGCGAGGAGGAGGTTATCTCGATCTCCGAGAGGGGCGACTCGACCTGAGCTACCTGAGGGAGGCACCGCTCCGCTGCTGCCGCCGCGTTGTGTGTTTGTTATGTCTCTGATGTGTGCACGCACCGTGCCCTAGCGGTAGAGCTTGGGCAGCGCAGCCGTGCGCACCTGGCCAGCAGAATCACCCAGGGTGTGGACGGCGGACACGCTAAGATTTCGTTTGCTGGTTAGGGCCCGCTCCCGTCTTCGCCTCTCCCCTCGCCTTTCGTCGCTCGGCCTGGCCCCTCGGTCGCCTTGTCCCGCTCGTCCCCTCGGTCGGCCCCTGCTCGGTGTGTTCGGTCCCCCCGCTTTGGCATGACTGCCTGCCGCTGAAGTCAGTAGTAGGTCCGTGTTCAGAGAGTGGAGTCCCCATTGATTCATTCGTCTGCAGCGTGTGCTTGTTGCAAATGCAAGCTCTCCTGGTTGCCCTAACTACTCCTCTCCGCCTCCTACTCCTCCTCCTCTTCCTCGTCCTCGTTCTCATCGTCATCGTCGTCCTCCTCCTCCACCTCGTCCTCCTCCTCCGCTTTTTCCTCGTCCTCCCTCTCCCCCCCTCGTCCTTCCATCATCGTCCTCCCATTGTCGTCATGTTCCTCCTCGTCGTCCTCCTCCTCTTCCCCCCCTCCCAATCCTCCACCCTCCTCCTTTTCGTCGTCGTCGTCGTCGTCGACGTCATCGTCGTCGTCCCCTCCCTCCTCCTCCTCGTCCTCCTCCTGCTGCTCCTCCTCCTCCTCCTGCTGCTCCTCCTCCTCCTCCTCCTCGTCCTCCTCCTCCCCTCCTCGTCCTCCTGCAAAAGCAGCCCGCCGCAGGCGCCGAAAAATTTGTTTGTACACTGAACGTGGTTTGAGTCGCGGGTGGGCCGCGGGTTTTCCACCGGGAACGAATGCAAAAGATGCTCGCCGCAGGCGCCGAAAAATTGGTTTGTACCCTGAACGTGGTCGCGGGTGGGCCGCGGTCTCTCCACCTAGAACGATTCAAAAGATGCCCGCCGCAGGCGCCGAAAAATGCGGTTTGTACCCTGAACGTGGTTTGGGTCGCGGGTTGGTCGCGAGTTGATCGCGGGGTGGGTCGCGGGCTCTCCACCTGGAAGGAATGCAAAAAAAGCCCGCCGCAAGCGCCGAAAATGTTGGTTTGTACCTTGAACGTGGTTTGGGTCGAAGGTGGGTCGCGGGTGGGTCGCGGGGTGAGTCGCGGGTGGGTCGCGGGTGGGTCGCGGGTGGGTCGCGGGCGGGTCGCGGGTGGGTCGCGGGGTGGGCCGCGGGCGGGTCGCGGGGTGGGTCGCGGGTGGGTCGCGGGTGGGTCGCGGGTGGGTCGGGGTTGATCGCGGAGTGGTCGCGGGTGGGTCGGGGTGGGTCGCAATGTGGTCGCGGGTGGGTCGAGGGGGTGGGTAGCGGGGGGGGTCAGCAGTGGGGTTTAGCGGTCGGTCGCGGTGGTCGGGGTGGGTCGCGGGTGGTGGGTCGCGGGTGGGTCGCGGGGCGGGTTGCGGGTGGACGACGACAAACAAAACAAACAACAACAACAACAACAACAACAACAACAACAACAACAACAACAACAATCATTTTACCCGAACGCGCGGTGTTCTCCCCAGTGCCAGGGTTTTCATACGACACCAGGCAATACCCCCACTTCGTGGGGGGGCATTACAAGCTCTACCAAATATCCAAACGACTCTTCGCGACCACCCAAACCAGCTTCCCGCCCTATGACGTTGGGACACTTCACTTCGTGGCGTGCGGACGACCGTGGCTACTACACTGGCGTGGGGTACACACCCACAGAACTTGGTCACTTATTCGGGGCGCGCATGTGCCCAGCATGGTGCAATTGTGCCATACAATACATACTACAGAGAGACAGAGAGAGAGACAGAGAGAAGACAGAGAGAGAGACAGAGAGAGCGGAGTTGGTCACATTTTTGGGTCAAGTTCCTGGGATAATGGGAATACACAACTCTGTTACATTTGATAGTGTGCACGACACACATGAGATGATACGTACTCGCAAGATAGTTGGTCACATTTGTGGAATTCCTGGGCGGATGTGGGGATACACAAATACCTTTGTTACCAGTGCTAGACATGGTACAGACACTGAGAGAGAGAAGGCGAGTCAGAGGAAGAGAGCGGGAGAGAGAGAGACAAAGAGAGAGAGACAGAGAGAGAGGAGTTCGTCACATTTTTTAATCAAATTCCTGTGCCGAAGTGGGAATACGCAAAGGCATCAGTTGCATATGACCCGTAGGGTACATGGTACACATGATCATGGTACGTACGCACAAGATGGTTGATCACATTTTTAGGGCAAATTCCTGAGGGATGTGGGAATACACAAGAGAGAGAGAGAGAGACGATATGGTTTTCCCGATGGTTGTCTCGATGGTTGTCCCGATGGTTGTCCTGATGATCGTGGTTGTCCCGATCGTCGTCCCCATGGTTGTCCCGATAGTTGTCCTGTTGGTTATGGTTGTCCCGATCGTTGTCCACATGATTGTCCCGCTGGTTGTCCCGATGGTTGTTCGGATGGTTGTCCCGATGGTTGTCCCGATGGTTGTCGCGATGCTGCCATACTTTCTTTTTCTATCGCCCAGCCTCGGCGAACAGTGCCGGCAGGGGAACAGGGAGCATACTGCCAGAGCGCACTCATACTGTCATGAGCGGCCAAGGGCATGCGGCATACGGAACGGCACTCATACTGTCATGAGCGGCCAACGGCATACAGCCTACAGACGCGAAGGCTCCTCCTCCTGGGTCCCGTCCGTGATGGCGCCAATCCGCGGCGATACCTGAGGCTGGACAGGTGGCAGCACGGAGGCAATACGCGTCGCAATGGCGACATCAGGGATGTGTCCGAGCACGATGCTCTATCCGCAGCTCGCGGAGGCCGGGCCGTGGATGCGAGAGGAATAACGCAAGACGCCCGGGACCCGCACCGTGATTCCCGTAGGATCCAGTCGGTAGTCATAGATTCCACATTGCGGCGACTGGCCCCCCCAATCAGGCCTTTAAACAAGTCTTTTGAACTAGCTATTAATAAACGGCGGTATACGTCCTGGTGCCACCATCGTTCCTGGTGGGTATACCCCGGGCTTCGCCCGCGGCAACCCCAGTGCCATACCCTGCGGCTCATTACCCCCATGGATGGCGCCCGTGAATGGCGATGAATAAGTCCAAGCTCATCAAGGCCTATACGAAAGTCCCCACTGATACGACCTCGGCGTGGAACGCGAATACGATGCGATCCAGATCGCGAAGCCGGCATAATCCACTCGCCGTGCCGGACGAATACGTCGCGTGTCCAGTCACGTATGCCGGCGGTGGCGCTGAGCTGCTCGAGCACATACGCGAGCGTGCCCAGTACCCGCCATCTGGATCTCGAAAGCCGTGGAGGTTCCCGAATACGAGGTTCGCGTAGAAGAAGACGTCGAACGCGAACCACTCAGGCGTCTCGATACCGCCCCTACGATTCATGTTCTCGTCGACCTCCGAGTTGGCCTTCGATACTCGCGTGGACGCAGCCGTTGATACGCAGAGGCATACACCCATGACTCCATTCCACACCGCGGGGAAGTAGATACCCGTAGCGAACCATCTGCTCTCGGCAAGCATCTTCAGCCATACGAATACAGCATTCTCGCCGCCGCGTGGGACGTTCCAATCCCACATACGCTGGGCGACCTGCTGTTGCGATGGAGTATACTCTCCGGCGGCGTCCCAGTCCCCGTCCATGACAAAGGAGATACGTAAGATGGAAGATACGTGAATACGAAGATACGCAACTACGTAAATGCGAGGAGCAAATGCACCTTGAGCACAAATGGCTGCGGCATACATGCGAATGTTGATGCGGCAAAGTGGCCAAGCCCATACGAACAGAAACGAACCACATACATGTGCCAAAGTGCCATTCGTGCGACGTCCGCCGCCGCACATGCGACCAAGGCAGGCATACCGACATCATGTGTTTTTTTTTTGCCCCGGGCCTCATGGATTCCCCCCCTAGATCCCCATGTAACGGCGGCCCGGGCCGAAGTGCCCAGGGAAGACGGCTCGGGCCGAAGGCATTAAGAGAATACGTAAAACCATTGAGCCCTGGGAGGCCCCCCCCAAGATCCCCAGACAGGTTTTGCGGCTCGGGCCGAAGGCCTAAAGAGAATACATAACAACAGGGCCCTGGGAGGCCCCCCCAAGATCCCCAGATAGGTCTGGCGGCTCGGGCCAAAGGCCTAAAGAGAATACATAAAAACCATTGGGCCCTGGGAGGCCCCCCCCCCCAGGAAAATGGTGGCCCCAAGAAAGCCCATGGTGACCCCAAGACAGCCTTTGATGGCCCCAAGACAGCCGATGGTGACCCCAAGAAAGCCTATGACGGCCCCAAGACAGCCCATGGTGGCCCCAAGACAGCCTGCGGTGGCCCCAAGACAGCAGCCAGTTGGTCACATTATTGGGGCAACTTTTGGCGCTGAGGCAGGCTGAGGCCGAGGCTGAGGCTGAGGCTGAAGCTGAAGAGGAAGCTGAAGCACTCTGAGGCCGAGGCTGAGGCTGATGCAGGCTGAGGCTGGGGTAGGCTGGCGCCGACGCTGAGGCAGGCTGTTGCCGAGGCAGGCCGAGGCTGAGGCTGAGGCTGGGATCCGTCACCGTCGCCGTCGCCGTCGCCGTCGCCGCCGTCGCCGTCGCCGTCTGCGTCGCCGTCTGCGTCGCCGTCGCCGTCGCCGTCGCCGTCGCCGTCGCCGTCGCCGTCGCCGTCGCCGTCGCCGTCGCCGTCGCCGGCAGCCCACGATGCCACCGCGGACGCGAGAGCATAGACCCCCGCAACAGGGTTACGTTTTTGTGTTTTTTTTTTCTGCCACTCCCAATTCATATAATACGCCCGAGGTGAGAAAAGAAATAATCTGGTCTAAAGCAATGCAGCACCTGCCTCCCCAGCGTGCCACGCACGACTCAGTAGACTTCGCCTCCAACACCGGCCCTCGGGAAAGCCCTTCCAGAAGTCGTTGACGCCGGAGACCTCGCTCACCCCCTCCACGTCCATACCGTTGTGGCCGACCGAGTGGCGGAGCTTCACAGCGGCCTGGAAGTCTTGTAGTGATACCTCGTGCTGCGATGGACCAGCTCCGTGAAAGCTGTTGCCGTGATACCTGAAACAGGTGGTAGCCCGATGGTGGCATTGAGCCACAAAGGCCAACCCCCCGCAACTTTGCCAATTGGCCATCATACGGACTCGCGACAGTTTAGTCTTGTCGAGCCAGTCATAGACCTGCTTCGCATACTTGTCCAACTCCGGCCCCGTCTTCGCGGTCGCCAGCACTGCGTCGTCCGTACCGCTCGCACGGAGGAGAGCAGCACCCTTCTTCTCAGGCTGCTTCTTGGGTGCCAGGCAATACTGCAAGGCCGGCAGGATCTCATCAATCTCTTTGTACAAATCGTTATACATCTGCTCCTTCAATACCGCCTTGGTCCCCGCCATTACCGAGGGATCCTTCTGATACTCGCAGAAGGTCTTCATCGCGTGAATGAAACGGTTAATACCGACACCCCTCCGCTCCGGCTCCTTGCTGCACATCTCCGACATCCATACGGCCCCGCTCTTCAGCGGCTCCTGCATCTGGGTCCATACCTGCGCGTCCTTCAACTTCGCGAACTTCGCAGGCCCATACACGTTGAGCAACTGCGCGGGCAACGTCTCGTATACCTTCAGCAACTCCCGCTTCTTCTGGTCCTTCGGCTTCTCCACGGAGGCCGGGGCGCCCGTCGGCGCCGCAGCCCCGGCCAGGGCGAAGTCTGGGCAGTGGTCGAGTGTCATGCGGAACCGCGGGGAATACACTTCCGAGTGGGAAGCCTGGTGCAGCCGTGCCGACTTTGGGAATATATGGCTGCAGTTTGAAACCGGATACCTACTACTGGCACACATGGCACTACTGGCACACATGCAGTTTTTGGATACGTATTGCACATGATACGTACGACGGACAGCATGTTACATATGATACGTATGGCAAATCATCCGTATGATACACATGCGACAGAGACCACAGTTGGTCAAATTTTTGGGGCAAGTTTTGCCACACACGCAGTGGTTACGTATAATACATATTGCACATGATACGTGTGAGAGACCTGAGACAGACACAACAGTTGGTCACATTTTTGGGGCAAAGTTGACGTACGAGTATATCTACATATTATACATATATGTATAGAGGTGTATGTGACTGTGTATGTGCACGTGTGCGTGTAGAGGCATGGCTATGCGCGTCGGACTAGTATGTTTACATGTGTGTGTGTATGTGTATGTGTATGTCATTACTGGTGTATGCTCTTGTTTCATACAGTTTTGGTGGACCCCTGCGTCAGACAACATGCAACTATACAAATGAACGCCGCCCTCAAGGTTCAGACAGCAACGCTTCCAACTTGACTTTGGATACACGTCTGGTGACCCACCTACCCTGAATTTTCATTCTTTGATACTCGCTGGCGCCGCGAGCGCGCACTGCGGATACCAGCTCCTCGTAACTCCTCTTCCGCGCCCCCGTGCCTGAAGGCTTCTGCATACCTCGCTTCACAAGCGCAGCGAGCTTCTTCACAGTATGCGACTTCCCGTACTTGATACCCAGACCCTTTGCGGCCTTGACCAAACCGCGATACTGCTGTGTATGCTGCCTCGCATACGTCTGGACCTTCTGAGTCACAACGCTCAGAGAACTCGCCAGCACGCGGAATTCTGGAATACCGTCCAATTCCACCTTGGGACACAGACGGCGGCGACCCAACTGATACGCCACCTCCAAAGGTCCGCCAGCGCGCTTGCAGGGCAACTTCCGCAGCACAGCGAGTGATACACCCACACAGCTGCGGATCCCCTCCAAAACCTGAATTGTGTGACAAAGCGTCGATACACTATATGCTAGCCCATTTCGGATACGCGAAACGTTTTCCCGCACAGACTTGCTCTTGTCATACGCCTCCATGAGGTACCAAAGACCATGCAGCGAATACGTGTTGATAGCCTGCCGCGTCTCGCAGAACAATACATACATGGTCGCGACACTCACTTGAGACGTGGTGTTCAGAGCCCTCCTCATACGCCCCAATGCCGTGGTCATACTGTCGCAGGAAAGCACACCAAAATACGCGAGCTCCGCCGCAGCATGGCGTCTCCACTTCCCACACTGCCGCTTCAGAAACCACTGATGCAGCTCCTCGGTATACTCCGTCGGCGCGCAGCCCATGGAAAACTCAAGAATGGTAACAAAACACCGCATACAGTCCATGCTGTTATACTTACCTGCCATCTTCACCTGGTTCTTCTGAACGGCCACGGCCACATAGTCCGGGATACTGTCCCCCATGGCCATGATGTCAGCGCTCGTGCCACCTCTCTCTTTGCATACAGCCTCGCAGTGCCGGACAAGACCGCAACAGAATGAGTCGAAGTCCTGGACGAATACAATCCACTGATCCAAAAGGTAGTCACATACGACACGTACTCCTGCCTGGCCTCTGGTGAAACGCAGTAATACAAAGAACAGCACGAACAGATACCCTGCGGACTGCATGCCAAGGCAATACGTGGCCAAGAATACCCCCCTCTTGAGCCAAAGTGCCTATGAGCAACGCACACACGCACAGACATGACGATGATGATGCTGCTCGTAATGATGATGATGGTGATGATGATGATGATGCCGATGTGGATGATGGCAGTTGCAGTTGTTTCATATTTACGCATTGCACAAGATACGTATGACAGCCATGACACAGAGACAAAAGTTGGTCACAGTGTTGGGGCAGATTTTGCCACACACGCAGTTCCTGCATATGACACATGATACGTATGAGAGACAGAAGACAAAGAAAAGTTGGTCACATTTTTGGGGCAAATTTGGTCACACATGCAGTTGTCACATAATTACATATTGCACATGATATGACAGCCCTGAGACAGAGACAAAAGTTGGTCACATGTTTGGGGCAAATTTTGCCACACATGAAGCTTACGTATGATACATATTGCACATGATACGTATGACAGAAAGAAGCCAGAGGAAAGTTGGTCACTTTTTGTGGGGCAACTTTGGTCAAACATGCAGTTGTTTCATATTTACGTATTGCACAAGATACTTATGACAGCCATGACACAGAAACAAAAGTTGGTCACATTTTTGGGGCAGATTTTGCCACACACGCAATTCTTACATATGGCACATGATACGTATGAGAGACAGAAGACAGAGTTGGTCACATTTCTGGGCTATTGGTCACACGTGCAGTTGTCGCATAATTACATAGTGCACATGATACGTATGACAGCCATGAGACAGAGACAAAAGTTGGTCACACTGTTGGGGCAAATTTTGCCACACGTGCAGTTCTTACATATGATACACATTGCACATGAGTATGAGAGACAGAAGACAGGGAAAAGTTGGTCACATTTTTGGGGCAAATTTTGTCCCACATGTTGTTTCCTATTTACGCATTGCACAACATACGTATGACAGCCATGACAAAGAGGCAAACGTTGGTCACATTTTTGGGGCAGATTTTGCCACACTTGTAGTTCTTACGTATGATACATATTGCACATGACACATATGAGAGACAGAAGCCAGAGGAAAGTTGGTCACATTTTTGGGGCAAATGTGGTCACACATGCAGTTGTTACATATCACACACATGGATGATACTTATGACAGCCATGACACAGAGACAAGAGTTGGTCACATTTTTGGGGCAGATTTTGCCACACAAGCAGTTCTTTCATATGGCACATGATACGTATGAGAGACAGAGGACAGAGAAAAGTTGGTCGCATTTTTGTCCAGTGCCCGCGCATATGGCGAGCAGCGGGACCTGCCGTTCTTCTGTACGAGAAGCATTTGGCGAACAAGTATTTCAATGCACAAGTCCGTGCCAAGAGCCTCGGCGTCACGGGGGATGTTATGGCTCGAGATTCGCAGGCGTCTGCGGGGTATTGGGAGATCGTGCAAGACTCCCTCGCTGATCTGGTGCGCATCATGCTCGTGCGCTGTTACGACGAGAAGAATTATGAGGCCCTGTATCAACACTGCCGGAATCTCCGGGGACAGGTATGGCTGTGCGCGTTCCCGAATCTGTTCATCACCATCGCCCCCGCGGAGTGGAAGTTCCCGAGGCCGTATTTCATGGAGCCGTACCTGCGCTGTATTTTTGCTGGTGCCTATATGATGTCACTCCATATGTACTTCCTGGTTCGCTGTATCTGGATGTTCTTGGCGAACCGCTGGGGCCACAGGTTCGTCTTCTTGTATAACAAAATTCCAGGAATTGTTTTGCGAGTTTTCATGTGTGTCATATGTATCATGTACCCCATGTATCACATATAACAACTGGATGTGTTCGAAAATTTGCCCCAAAAATGTGACCAACTCTTCTGCGAGTTTGTCTCATGTGTATCATACGCATCATGTACCATATGTATCATGTCACAACAGTGTGCCAAAATAAATAACAGTGTCCAGGTACTTCATCGTTTACGAGTGGTGTATGAAGACCGAGTACCAAGGCCGTGGCACCCCGCACTGGCACATCTGCGCGTGGGTTGTATGCTTTGGGCTGTTGCAGTATCTCCAGGGGCGCACTGGGACGGCTGTGGTGTCGGCATTCGTCAAGTTCCTCTCGCTGGTATTCTGCGCCGAGATAGATGTTCAGATAGGCAACGGCCGTCTGAACTACATTTCTGGGTATGTGGCGAAGGACCATGATGCCGTCGACGTCGGGCTCGGCGAGTATGTGCAGAAGAATGCAAACAGTTCCTGGCTGACCGCGTATCGCTTGCTCAGCAAGAGCAGCCCGTGCTTGCCGGAAGTGGCGATCCGTTTGGCGCAACTGTCGGAATTTGAGCGGTCCTACTCTCATGTATTGCTGTATCCACCGCAGCCGGCAGCCATGGTGAATTACGACGGGCGGCAGGGTAACTTTTCCTCGAGGATGTATGGCTTGTACCTTCAGGAGAAGAGGGAGCAGCTGGTCGCAGGGGTTCCCGTATCGGACAGTTTCTTGGTATGGCACCGTGGCAGGGAGTATGATTCCTGCAACCACTTCGTGCATTTCCGTGGCGGCCGACATAATCAAAGGTATGAACCTACGCAAGTGGTCGCCTGCAGGTATTGGTACGAGCTGACGGACGGGTACTGGGGCCAGCATTCACTGACTATGCTGCCACATGTATACGCTTCACAATTTCTCCCTCGGACGTTCAAACACCTGGACAGTATGAAGAATTTCGTGGGCATGATCGAGTATCTCATGTCCTGGAATTGGTCCGGCACTGTTGGTATCGTGGAGACGTCGTGTGATCTCAAATTCCACGTGGGCGATGATGGCCAGATACTCACATTCGGCTCTGAGTATACTGCAGGAGAGCCTGTATTTGCCAATGACAGGGCAGCATTCGAGTATCTGCTCTCGCTGGCCCGACGCGATCTGCAATTTCGCGGTATGCGCGATGAGCGTGTCGGCTGCTTTGAGCAGAAGCAACACGCGAATTTTCTGTTGTATCAGCGTGTTGCTCGATGCAATAACGCGCCAGAGTATGAGTGCCTTCGGCAGGAGTGGGATACCTTGAACAGGCCGAAGTATCAGCAGCGCACGTGGAGCCCAGAGCAGGCTGATGCCATCGAGCGGGTCAAGAAGGCTGTATCGCTGGAGGACGAGGAGGAGAAGCAGAACAGCAAGCGTTTCTTGTATATCTCTGGACCGCCCGGCAGTGGGAAGACGGCAGTATTGTTGGAGCTGGCCATTTGGGCATGTGAGTCTCTTCAGGTCTTGATCGTGTGCCCCACGGGGTATCTCGTGCACCAGTACAAGTCAAAGCTGCCGGACAGACCTGGTATTGAGAATATCCGAGTGGACACGATACAAGGAGTCTTGAAGTATAAGAGGGCCGGGAAGGACGGCAAGGTCCGCTGGGCTCCACCCTCGGCTTTGAGAAGTATTGATTTGATTCTTTGCGATGAAGGCAGCCAGTATGAAGACCAGGAATGGATGCGTTTTTTTTGCCTCGGTGCGGGAGCAGCCGCACAAACCCTTCACTGGTATCGTCGCCGATTTTAAGCAGTTGCAGCCAGTGTTGAGCGGGGGCCAGTGCGAGCACTTCTGCAACCAAATGGACAAGGTTGATTTGAAGACCGTGTATCGCACCGCAGACAAGCAGCACTTGGTTTTCCTGAATCGCATACGCGAGGCTCAGCCAGATCGAGCGCGTTTGACGGAGTATTTTGGCGACCGCCACTGGCATCATGAGTCCTTGGAGGCTTGTGTTGAGCGCGGTATGGCGTTGGCGTCGGAGAAAGGCCATCCGTTTTCTTGGCTCACGTGTACGAACGCAGGCTCGTCGGAGGTATGCAGAGCGGCTCTGGCATTACTCGGCATTAGTGAGGCCGATCTGCAAAAGGGTGGGCATTGCGACCCGACCACGAAGTCCGACTTACGTATTTTGGCCAGACCTGGTATCGTCATTCGCCTCAGTCGGAACTTCGACAAGCAGCGAGGCTTTGTGAATGGGGCGTTGGCCACGGTATGCGAGTCGCTTCGTGGAAACTCCGTGATTACAGCCAGGCTGGTGGGCACGGGAAACATGGTATTGGTGCACCCCATCGAGGAGAATGGGGAGGTCTTCCTGCCCTGCTGCTACGGGTATGCGACCACGGTGCGTCGAGCCCAGGGTGCGGATCTCTTTCACGGCTGTATTTACTTCGAGCAGAAGAAGAGAGTGGCTACGAGGGGGTATGGCTACGTTGCCTGCAGCCGCTTTAAGTCTCGCGAGGGCTGTTATGTATTCGGCAAGGTCCGCCGCAGTGACTTCCTCCCGGCTGGGCCTGAGCAGGCTGGCGAGGTGCTGGAGCGCGGCTACGACTCGGTATCGTCATCTGACGACGAGGGGAAGGGCATCGAGTATGCCTGTGCAGATCAAGGGGAGTATGACGCGGACCCTGTTGTGTCCATGGACATGGGCAACAATCTCGTGGACTTCCTTGAGAGCGCCGAGGATACGGCAGATGTATCCAAGACCGACTGCCAACGTATCCTTGCAGACTTTGCTGCAGGTGCCGCTGCGGAGGCTGCCAATGCGCCAGTGTATGAGGAGATGGGCGTATGCAGCGAGCTCCCAGTGAGGGAGGCAGAGTGGGGCGAAAATGGTGAACTGCTCGTCTACGGCGGCACGGCCACGCCGGAATGATGTATGACGTATGGCGACGGGGACGAACACAAAAAAACGTACACACGCGCATGTGGCCATGTCTGCCTAGTATCATATCATTTATCCGGGCCTGCATGTGACCACCTGTTGTCTTTGGCGCATGCCTTGCATACG